AATTTTACTTAAAAACAATCCAACTTTGATTAATGGTCACGTTTATGCTTTTACTAGAAATTCCATCTAATCTTTACTATCCGACTTTTTCTATGGGAACGATAACCCATCTTTCAAATTATATTATTTGTGATCTATTTTAAGTTTTTTAAACCCGTTCGATCTGTTGGGAGCTTTTCATTAAAAAAATTGTTTTTTTCTTTATTAGAAAATTATTTTTTTAAAAGCTTTTGTGAAAATGTATTTATCTGACCTTATCTTTTTTGATAAGCAGCAAAGTAAAAATAAAAAAAAATAAGCCTAATGGATATCAGCTCATGCTTGATAAATGATAACCAAGTACACAATAAAAAAATATAAGACGTAATCCAATTGAATAGAGGGCGTGCCTTTCATATTTCATGTGTGTACTGAAAGCCAATTTGGACTCTATAATCTTTTTGAAGTTTGAGGCGAAAAGGACATGCGCATGGCCTATTGAAGTTAAAATTTAAATTTCAAGATGACAAATTGACAATGACCTCGTTCTCGATCCCTGTGTCACGTTATGTCAAGCTAATTTCGAGATGACAATGGCCTATTACAGCTTTGACTTGACTTCTTAATTTTGAATGAAGAAGAAAAACAAATTAAGAAAGAAACAAAACGAAAAGGAAAAATAGAGATATTGAAAGTTAGAGAAAAAGAACAAAAAAAAAAGTTAACAAAATAAAGTCATATTTACAATGTATTTTGCTCATGTTATAATTTATTTTAAAATATTAAGTTGAGAATTTTTTTGTCGTTATAATATTTTTGTTAATAAAAATATTATTGATAAAATTAAAGTCATTAATTGATAATCAATTAGGAAAATTTAGTCAATTATTTAACTAGCTTGTCATTTTTTTTTTTTTTTTAAGTTTTCAAATATATTTCCCCCGACGTACGTTGTCTTGTTAATGGGAGGGTCATCCCACTATTTGGTTAAATTTAAGTAAGCTTAATTTGATTTTTATTTTAAATATTTAAATTAGTATTTTTACACTTATCAGTTAAGTCATTTAACTAATCTAAGTAAGAGGGTAATAAAGTATATTATTAATCTAAAATTAATTTATTTAATATTTAATGTATTCTGAATTAATATGAACTTTATATATTTTGGTACCCAATTATTTTTTATTTTAATGATTCTAAACATAACCTCAATTTATAAATTGTTGAGGTCAGCATGTTTAACTGCGATCCAGCTCCTAGTGTTTTGGATTTGATCAGGGACACAGGAATATCGAGCTCATGCTCTCATAGTGTAGTGCGCTCCACCAAGATTCATCGCTAAATGCGCAAGCTGCACCCAACAATTGCTTAAGCCAGCACAATTTGTATAGAAATCTTTCCAAAAGGATCTTTCTCACCTATAAGTTTCGCCCAACAATTCTTCTGTTCGTTTCTTCTGCTTTTGCTTCGCTGATTTTTTTTTTTTTTTTTTTTTGAATTTCCTCAAAGTATCCGTCAGCAAACAGTTGAAGACTAATTATTTCGAGAGGTAGAAATTACCAAAGTGAATTTTGCCTCTGTCAACAAAGTATTTTTTATATACATATGGAACCTAGGTTTAACATCATTAAGGGACCTTTTTTGTGGTTGGTTTTGAGCTGTTATTGCCTCCTCCACTTCCTACGTCTCATATGCATAAAGTGGGTATGCTTCGCTGCGCTTATTAATACGTAACTTACACTAGATTTCCTGCATTTAACGCCATTTCATTGAAATATAAGCCAAAAAGTCATTTTATACATAAAAAACCCTAACTCTTATTAAATGATATCATATATATATAAATAATCCTGTATACAAAATGATATTTTGTATTTTGAAGTTTAGCTAGGTTTATTCCTTTCCGAAAAACAATAACTCTTGATCTATATATTGTACATGCTGAGATTTTCGAAACAAATTCTTTAAAACTTGATTAAGATATTGATCTACTGAAATTCACAACGTTTTGAAGATTATATTTCTCTTTAAATTTATGTATATTATACGTCCATTGTTATTTAACAAAAAAATAATTAATCTAACTACTCTGTGTGTTAAATATAATTTTTCATCAAATATGCTTATCTCTTTTTTAGAGTGTTTCCTTTTTTTTTTTTTGAAGACTAAAAATTTAAGTCGGGTTAGACATCGGTATCCCACCAGGATTAGGAAAGATCCCTCACCCAATTTCTTTAAAGATTTTCGAGAGGAATTGCATATCATCCACCAAGTCTTAGAATGTTTTTCCAACAAAGGGTCTCTACTTGTTTCATTGATTTACAGACTTCTCTATTTATTTATTTTTTTATGCTGTAGTTTTTTCAATAATTGTATCTTGATCTTTTAGATTTATTATCTACTCAATAGATCTGACAATTTTAATTTTGATTTTCTAGTATCTACCTCTTCTTGTAATAAATATGAATTTTTTTAACTTAATTTTTCCATATTCGTCACGCATTAATCTTACAAAAACTAAGACATTTAAATATTCTAAGATAAGAAACATAATATCTTTTTGATGCGGCAGTACTTTATTTATCGACCTCAATAGTCAAAGATGAGTTAGCATTGGCAATTTACTTATCAAGAACAAACTATAACTTATGGATTAATTTCAAGAAAAAATTATTTCTATTTGCTTCTCTTAATAGATTTATTATTGTATACTCAATATATTTATAAGCGGCGCGCGTTAAGCTATTGCTTGAATGAATTTCAGTTTATGATATTAAAAAAAAAAAAAAAAAAAGCTGCGGTGCCTAATTAGAGTACACCTAAAACATGATTTTCTACCAAATTGATTATGATGTTGATTGATATGTGATTCTGTCGTGTATACAACTGTATCACGCTTCTTCCAAATTTTCTTCCCTACTATTACCTCCACGTTTCCTGTGAAATTGAAAGAGATAGATTCTTTAATTATTTGCCACTTTTCTACGTGTAAATCCCAAGCAGTCCACTGAATCTCCTCCTAACTTCTATATATATATGCATGCCCTTGCTAGCTACGCTTCAATTTCTCTCATACCTATTAGCTCTTCTCCCTTTCTATCAAACTCATTTATTCGAAAATCTCTTCCACCCATCCAATTGTTCTCATTTCCAACTTATTTGCAAGATTGGTCACAGTAATGAGTTGTTTGAATTTTGTTAAAAAGGTTAGTTTCTGTTTATTTCCAATCTTTTTCCAAGTTTTTATTTTTATTTTTTTGTTGAAAAGCTCCTCAACTTCGAAAACTTGGTCGACCTTATAATACGTACACACATTCTAAGAATGGCATATAGTTCTATTGGAACTTCAAAGGACTCGTAAAATTCTCGAGTGCATGCTGAATTTCTCTTTTATGCATAATATATATAATTATATATGATATTTAGATTAACAATGTACCATGCATGTCAATCGAACCCAAGAGGTTGCAATTAACTAAATATTAAAATATCAAACTAACCGATACTTGTTTTTTTTTTGGAAAAAAAAAATTATTTTATGCTTGTGCTTGTGCACATGTCCAGTTCTTTTGAAGATATTTTATGCTTGCAAGATCGTAATTATGGATTACTTAATGATTTCATTTATGTTATATTAGAAGTTTTATTTACTTCCGTACTTCGCTGAATAAGGGTTTTTTTATTTTTTAAGTGTTTTATTCATTTGTTCTTCTCTTGCACGGTATGTACATATTTTATGCGTTTTTTATTTTATTTTATCTTTCACTGACTTCCAATTTGTTTTCTTTCTAGAGATATTAAATCTAAGAAGCATACATAATTTAACCAGTAAATGACTTACATGAGCCAACACAACATACCCATCAAGTACACACTCCAACATATAAATTTATGGTCCTAACATTTTGAAAATATATATAGGTATAAATGAGTTGGCTCAATTTAGACTTTGATCTAAATAAATTAAGTTTACGTAAAATATTTTAAATCTGGCCTGACTTATTAATATGATGTAAGCTAAACTATAAGTTTGGTTTAATATATATTTAAAAATTAGAAGGTTTAGTCTGAACCTATTAGCCTATTTAAGTCTATTAGGCCTTCAATACCAATTAAGAATTAGAAAAAATAAATAAAATAATAATATTTTATTAATTAAGTTATTTAAGTTATTTCGTTTTATTTTAATTTAAATAAATAATATGATATATGTCAGACTATAAATTTGTAAGTTAAGCCTTGTAAAAAACGCTTATGATCTATTTTCTAAATGAGCTATTTCTAATACATAAGTCTTTTTTATTTTATTGAATATATTAAGTTAAATCAAATCTGACATAAGCTGAATCACAGGCGCTGATAGGCTACTTATCCGATTTACACCCCTTGATAAGATTATAAAATATCAACTTGGCAGTTTAGTTTTAATCAACTATATATATGAAGAAGAAAAAAGATTAATCTTGCTCAGTCTTCCTGATATAATGGACTAATAGGTTGATCTATGGTTCAAGGAGGAACTGAATGTGATTTGAGTCGGGCCTCCATATGGCTTGTCTGAGGTGCAATGTGGTGAATTTTGCCATGTGTTACGGTGGAAGGTATATTCACCTGTAGAGTGCATAATCTTACTTTTTATTCTCAAAAAATAAAAAAGATCTTTCATCTGCAAAATCTTACTTTTATAAATATTCAGTTTAAAAATATTTTGAACTTCAAAATACAAAATCATTGATTTCATCTTTGAGTTTTACAAAATCATTTGTTCCATTTATTGTTTGATATTGATATAAAATTCACATTTTTCCCAAAAAATTTCTTCATCAATTTCTGTGACTTCGAAATTACAAAAACTAACAACTTCAATATTATTGTAATAATAAATAATTCATAAATAGAGACTATTTTCTTTTATAATTTTCAATTTTTCATGGCAAAAAAGTAGGTACTAGCTAGGAAAGTAATTGAAATGTAATAATTATTTTAATACATAATTTTATGACTAAATAATTCAGGACATAATGGAAGAAAATGACCCGGGGAAAAAGCATCAGGAGGTCTGCACACTGGATGGAGCACTTGATAGGCATGGTCATCCTGCAGTCCGAGAGAGAACTGGAACTTTTGTTGCAGGAATTTTGATTTTAGGTATCACTTAACTCTTCAACTACAACCAATATAACTAAGGGAAAATATGACACTATATTACTATGTCATTTTTAAAGTTGTTTTCATTTTCTTATTTATTTGGTAATCAATTTTCTCTTTCCCATTGACTCAAATTTAATATATATATGAGATAGGATCTGTTTACAATTTTTTTTTACAAATTACACTAAGTACGACCGGTTATACACTGTATGATTAAAGTATGACCGGTCGTACTTAGTGTAGTTTGTAAATATAACATGCCCCTATATATATATATATATATATATATATATATATATATATATTACACACACACAAACGAGACACCCTCTGAATTTTAGAGTTATTTTAAGTAATGACATGAACATTTGAATTTACTAATTAAACTTTCAAACTATAATATTATAATTTTAGGGAGAATAGTTTCTATAAAGAAGTCTATTCTCCTGCGATATAAAAAATTGCAATTTTTTATTTTAAATATGATGGACCCCACCTGTGGCTCTTTCTGCATGGACGAGCTCAATTCTTCACAAGAATTGATTATTTCATAATTTTATGAGTTTGATGATTGTTCTTTAAAAAAATATAAAGTCATGTCATTTTAAATAAGAAAAAGACACAAATAATAAAAATTATAAAAAAGAAAATGAGTGATTTTTTTATTTAAATTTTAAATTAAAAAATATTACTTTATATTTTTTTTTCACTTAAAAATGACATTAAAAAGATAAATATTTTTCCTAAATTCTATTTACCAAACATGTTAAAACATTGTCTTTTCGTCACTGAATTAGTGAACCAAGGGCTTGCAACTTTGGCATTCTTTGGTGTGGGAGTAAATCTGGTACTGTTTCTGACGAGAGTGATGGGTCAAGACAACGCTGATGCGGCCAACAATGTCAGCAAGTGGACAGGGACAGTTTACATCTTCTCTCTTCTTGGAGCCTTCCTTAGTGACTCCTACTGGGGAAGATACATGACCTGTGCCATCTTCCAGGTCATATTTGTTGTTGTAAGTTGTATTCAATAGCTCCTTTTCCCCATATCAATGACCTTTTGATGCAAATTTAAAAAAAATTATCAAATAATGTCATCTTTAAATGTAATACAAATTTAATGTAGTGAGTCTCACACGCTATTCACACAAGATTAGGAAACAGTGACCAAAGTATCATTTTTTAGCAAAAATTTTACTCAAATGTCATGCGAATAATATTTTTTATCAGACTGCCACATTGTATAATTTGCTACGCCTTGTAGCAAATTATGTTTGCCAATGATTTTGTGACATGTGACCATATTGCAGATCAAATTCGCTACCACTGGTAGAGAATTATGACACGTCAGTTTTTTCCTGCAAAAGTGTGTCACGTGTCACAAAATCATTGACGAACATAATTTGCTATCAGTCGTAACGAATTATGCCACTTGACAATCTAGTAAAAAATAATATTCGACATTTGGATAAATTTTTTTCCTAAAAAGAATATTTTGATCACTATTATTCCCGAGATTAGTCCTCCATCAAAATTAGCTATGATTTTAATGTGGCTGATTTCTTTTCATATATGTATAGGGTGACACGTGGCCCTCCAAAGAAAAGTGTGCAGGATTAATCCCGCATGAATAAGGTGCGAGACAGACTGCATTAAATTGGTATTATGTTTGAAAACGAGATTATTTGAGAATTTTTTTAAAAAATAACTGCATTATTTCAATTGTTTTGTCCGACCTTCCCCTCGATAAATGAAGCAAAATAAAAAAGCATATCCACATATGCAGACAAACATCTAATGATCTAACTCTAGCAAACATGTGTATTCTCCATTATTTTCGTTGATAGCTAGAGTAAATTGAAAATACAAACACAATTAAATGCATTTTGATATATATATATATATATATACAAACTTTTTGTTTACAAACTATGTTCTCCCGAGAGAACATATTGTAATTTGTAAAAAAAATTCAAAAATATTTGTAAACAGATTATTCCCCGTGTATATATATATATATATATATATATATATATATATATGATTTTGGTTTTCTCATACATTAGAAAATAAGTTATCTTATGCTATATATACATTTTATGTGAGGCTCATATCTATTAAAAAAAATGATGCACTGGTAGGAGAAAATAAGTCTCCTATGAAAAAATACTTTCCTATATATATATTTGTGTTTACGAGAATAAATGTTCTACGTGCCAGGGTTTGGTGTCATTATCAGTGTCATCTCACATATTCCTGCTGAAGCCCAGTGGATGTGGTGATAAAGAATTAACTTGTACAACACATGCACCATACGAAACTGTGTTATTCAATGTTTCCATATATCTAATAGCCCTAGGAAATGGAGGATATCAGCCTAACATAGCTACATTTGGAGCTGATCAGTTTGATGAAGGGGATCCCAGTGAACAACACTCAAAAGTAGCATTTTTCAGCTATTTTTATTTGGCTTTGAACATTGGGTCACTCTTCTCAAACACCATATTGGGTTATTTTGAGGATGAGGGTCTATGGACTTTGGGATTCTTGGCATCAGCTGCCTCTGCTGCTGTGGCATTGGTTTTGTTTCTTTGTGGCACACAAAGGTATAGATACATTAAGCCTGCTGGAAACCCTCTTCCCAGATTTTGCCAAGTTTTTGTTGCTGCAATTAGAAAATGGAAGGTTAAGGTCTTATCAGGTGAAGATAAACTTTTTGAGGTTGAAGAATGTTCAACCAATGGAAAGAGAAAAATGCTCCACACTGAAGGATTTAGGTATGCATATCATTCATTCTATATGCTCCACAATACACACACACACATAAGGAATTTTGGAAATTAAAATTTTTTGAACTTATACTTTTCATTTTGTACAAATAGCCTACACTAAGTAGTTTCATTAGGCTTTTGAGACATTAAAATGATTTGATGAGTTCCCAAACCACTTTCTTACTAGTGTTTCCCTTTCTAATTTTTTCTATTAGCCTTATAATGTTCAAATTTATATAATTAGATATTAGCTATATAAGCTTTGGTATTTCATTTTCATGTATAGTTCCTCTTACAGAATGTAAATTAAAAAAATAAACTACCGGAACTTTAATTTAGACTCAATTTTAGTGAAGAATTCACGTATGGAATTTATATTGATATGTTAGGTTCTTAGATAAAGCAGCATTTATCACTTCAAAGGATTTCAAAGAGATGGAAGAAAATAAATGCAGTCCATGGTGTCTATCAACTGTGACACAAGTAGAAGAAGTGAAATGCATACTAAGACTACTCCCAATTTGGCTATGCACCATATTGTACTCTGTTGTTTTCACTCAAATGGCATCACTCTTTGTGGAGCAAGGTGCTGCTATGGAGACTAGAATTTCAACTTTCCACATTCCTCCTGCAAGCATGTCTAGCTTTGACATTCTTAGTGTAGCGGCTTTCATCTTCATTTATAGGCGAGTCCTTGATCCTCTTATATCCAAAAAGATGAAATCCACCAAAGGACTAACAGAGCTTCAAAGGATGGGAATTGGTCTAGTCCTAGCAATTATGGCCATGGTTGCAGCAGGAATGGTAGAGCATTTCAGGTTAAAGAATGCAATAGAAGATTGCTACAATTGTGAAGGGTCTAGTTCACTTTCTATATTTTGGCAAGTACCACAATATGTACTTGTAGGAGCATCAGAAGTTTTCATGTATGTTGGTCAATTGGAGTTCTTCAATGACCAAACACCTGATGGATTGAAAAGCTTTGGCAGTGCACTTTGCATGACTTCAATATCATTAGGAAACTATGTAAGTAGCCTTCTTGTTGCAATTGTGATGAAGATATCTGCAAGAGATGACATGCCTGGATGGATACCAGGAAACCTAAACAAGGGACATTTGGATAGGTTTTACTTCCTCTTAGCAGCACTTACTGCTTGTGACTTTGTAATTTATATTGCATGGGCTAGGTGGTATAAATATGTCAAATTTCAAGGAAACAACCAACAAGACATCAACAAAGAAAACCCTGAGCTTAAAGTGTAGAGATATTTCATGCTAAATCAAATTGTACTTTTTGCTGTGACACTGGAGAAATTCATTTCCCATTTCCCTTAGTGGAGCAAAGGTACTACTACAGATTGTCTCTAGTGGTGTATTTCAGATACAATATATTATATATTAGAAATAAATTTAGCTTTTGCTGTGTATGTTTGATCTCCAAGGATTTTATATAAGATCATCAATATATATATATAGAGAGGTAGGATCCTTTGACACCAGTGTCAAATTTGAAGTTTGACACCTCATCTGAGAGCCGTTAGATCAAAAAAGATCATTGGTGTCACATGCTTACAAATCAGAGCCGTTGATCTTTTTTGATCTAATGGCTCTCAGATGAGGTGTCAAACTTAAAATTTGACACCGGTGTCAAAGGATCCTACCTCATATATATATATATATATATATATATATATATATATATATATATATATATATATATATATATATATACCTACCCTGGTAAAAGGTGATGAACTAACTTGATATATATATCGGTACATGAATGAAATTTCTATTCAACTACAATTTAATTTTGAAACTTTTACACCTCTTCACCCTTACCGATTTGTAGACTAATTTGACAATCAAACATATATCAAAATATCCTTTTGATTATGTAGTTTCTAAATAATGAGAAATCAATATATCAAGTAGATGCTTTCTTCATATCAAGATAAAAAAAGACGCTTTCTTTATATATTCTATTTATTTTCTTCTACCATTCCTTACTATTTTTTATTATTCTTGGGACTATTTAAACAAACTCAATTTCTGATCAGGAAAAATAACAGTCAAGACGGGCAACTGAAAGACAAAAACAAATTATTTCTATTTGTTATTACCATAAATATATTGGCACATCATCCAACAGCATTCTTGACCTTCACTTTATTTTAATTTAACACAAACAAAGACTAATCGGAAAGCGATTGAACTTCATATAAGTAAACAAACACACAGAATTATATGATTTCCATATGCATGCCTTCAAATGGAGCAGGTTCTCTTTTAAAAATTGTAGATTTTAATTAGAAACACTAGGGTACTCAACAAAAACTATAACGGTTTATGTTTGTTCAAGTACAAAAACTCTCATAAAAATTGCAAATGACACGGGTGTGGGTAATCTGTAAGAAGTCATAGATTTGAAATTCAATGACACCATTATATAAAAAATAAAAATAAAAAAAGGGTCAAAAGATATATAAATACATTCAATCAAATCAGTTTTTTTTTTTTTTTTTTCTAAAAAAAAAATGTAAACAGAAAACTAAATTCATCCGATCAATGTTATTATAAGGTACAGTTATCCAGTATTAAATCCAAACAGGACCAAAACAACATCGTACTTGAACCTTATTCACAAAAACATGAATGAATAAGGTAAACAAACAGAAGAAAAACCAAAAGACAAGGAAAACAAAAGTACACATGTTATGCAGACATGCACCCAATTCCACGCCTTGAAGTAGGAAACACAAGAAACAAACCGCTACAAACGATTCCAACCATCAAAGGGAAACTCTCCATGACCTGATCCATCTCCTTCTCATGCCCAGGAAACAAACAATGCGTAACCCTATGATCCGAGAAAGCAATGGCCACAAAAACCATCACTGACATGATTGCATGCACCAAGTCTTGGAACCCAACCTTAAACTTCTCGTCCTTTGGAACTTCCACGTGAAGTCCTGGTTTGAACACGGACAACCCTTTTGGTGTCACAAAGCCATAGTACACTTTCCCATCTGCACCATGAAAACTATCTGTGAAGTGAAAGAAGAAGCAAGAGAGTGAACATAACGCTAAAAGGAAGTGGATCATCATGGTGTGAACGTGAGTGCATTGTCCATTTTTGTAGATGGAAGGAAGAACCATCTCGAATGTGAGGAGTGTTCCTGTGGGGAGGAAGTTTCCAAGCAATGAAGTTTTGGAGAGGGTTTTTTGGACACCCTTTGCCATGGCACGCCGCTTCCGGCCGGGCTCCGGTGGAGGCGCCGACGACGGTGGGTCGGAGGGGTGAATAATCTCATCTTGTCGTGGTGGAGTTGCATTGTAGACTTTGATGCCAAGTTCTTGTTCTGTTTGATCCATTATTGCTTTTGAAAAGATGTATGGTAGAAATAGAATGAATGAATAGAATGCAACAATTTGAGTTTTATATATGGTTGCATGGAACTGCCAACAATTTGAGTTTAAAATTCTTGGGCGGTTATTGACGGTTAATTATGTCCTTTGGTACTTGAATTTTGGTTTATTTATTAAATTTTTACAAAAATATATTTTTGAACACCCCTCGCTGGTGCTGCGTGAAGCGTTTGCGAGGGCTGATTTAATGATAAAATATAACACTTAGAAAACATAAGTATAGACATATTTTTTTAAAAAAATTGAATTCTATAGTTAAAAAATAAATTCTACTAATAAAAAAAAGTTAAAATTTTTTACTTCTCCCAAAATGAATTCTTTTGACTTTAAGACCCGTTTGGTTGGACCATAAAAAACATAAAATGGTATAGACTATTATAATTTACTCTTTTTGATGAGTTAATATTATGCGCATTTTTTATAGTACTCGAGTTTAAGGTGTTCTCTATTTATCCACCGAAGATTTGTTCTTTCTCTTTTTAACTAGAAAGACATTTTTTTTTTTGGTACATAACTAGAAAAACATTTATTAATGAGGACTAAGGGCTCGTTTGGATGAATTTTTTTTTCTTCAAAAGTTGTTTTTTTAAAAGAAAAAAAGCACTTCTCGTTTTTAGTTCGTTTGGATGTCTGCTTTTAAAAGAAGCAGAAGTCACAAAAAAGTCAAAAACTTACTTTTTTCAGAAAATAAAAATTTTAACTTCTAAGAAAAGCAAAAGTCAAAAGCCAAATATTTTTTTCAAAAACTAAATATTTTTAACTTTTATAAAAAGCATTTCTAAAATAAAGAGAGATAAAAATTACTTTCTTGAGAAGCCCAAACAAACGGGCTCTAAGACATGTCCAAGAGAGCTAGTTTTAAAATAGCCTCAACCGCTTCTTCAATCCACACACAATTGATAAATTAGATGATAAATAGAGAGCAAGTTAAGCAAGTTCATATTCCCATTTATTCTCACTTGTGAAACAGTTGAGGATCTAAATTGAGGGAAAAGATTAACACAATCTTTCATAACTCGTCCATGGCATGGTTGATTAATCCCTTTAGAAAAACTCGATTACCTCCAAACTATTTTCTCACCAGGTCCATGCCTAGAGAAAAATTAAGACCCAAATGGAATGGAAAGGCTTCAGTCGATTGGATGTAGACCATGTGAGATAACACAATAAGGCCATGAAGTTTTCTTTTTTTCTTTGTTTTTTTTAACCGTAATACAAGGCCACGAAACTGCTACCACGAATGATAGCCCCAGCTCCGCAAAACCCACACCTTTTGGTAGCGGCATCAAAGTTCAGTTTGTAAAGGCCCACAAATGCCCACGAAAATTTAGGTAAAAACTTCTTATATAAGCCAAATCAATAATTGATCTAGAAATTATTTAGGTTATATTAAAAATATATTTACCTTTAAAATATATTTTAACAATTAAGTGAGTGATTAACTGAGTTATATAACAAAACTTCAAGTAGTAATAGCCAACTAATATAAATGGAACTACATGTCTTCACAACATAAACTACAAAATTTTCTGGGCAATAATTGAAACGCAGTACATAAACCAAGGGAAGGCTTCGTACTATAGATCCACATAATTGGTCTAACCATCCTTAAACCCTGCGTACAGGGATAGTTTTATAGCATCGTGTTGCCCTTTTTGATAGGAAATTTTTAGAAATTTAAATAACTGCTCAGGATATATTCCCAGTTTTCAAATCTAAGTTTATATATTTGATTTTCTAAATGAATCACGTTCATATACTAGTATAGATGTCTTCTCACAACTTTTTTTGTTTTTTTGGTAGTTTGAGCAAGAAAACAAGCAGAATCAAACAATCCTAATGCTACAACATCGTCTCACATTTGAGAGATCAGCCAAAAATACAAAACCAAGTCCCGGAGGGAGAGTAGGGAACAACTTATAATCATCTAACTCATGGTGATGAAGGTGGTAATTCGCAAGCCAATCTGCTGTTACCCTTCCTTGGCGTATGATGATAATTGATGGACCAATTCTTTCTTGTTAATATCCGTATGCAAGCCACTAAATGGCTTTCACAAACTGCTTTGCCTTTGTTGTATATATATGACTTCTGACAGCAAATAATTTCAGTAAGACTTAACTGTATACCAAAAAAGAAATATCATAGGGATACAAAACAGTACTTTTATTGATTTTATCGATGACAATGGATCGTCAATTAACTAACACTCACCAGCACGATATTACAATGCCACAAATAATGAGAAACTGGAATTACATAATAATAGCACATTCAAAATAAATGCATCAGCAGATAACAAATGCAAAAGAAAATTTTATATACCTTAACCATAACGGGTGCTTCATCTTAGGGAAGCCCTCCTCTCCCTACCAAACTGCACATAGGAACGAGTTGAGAGTAGTCCTGCAAATCCCTTTGACAGACAACCTTCAACTGCACATGGGGACATAGATGAACACAATGGGCTATTTTGCCTACTAGTTTCCATACAGTCCTCTGCTGCATTCCCTGGTGGATTGTCATCCCAATCTACTGCACTATAAGCTCTGCTTCTTTTACAATTTGAGGAAATCAAGTCATCAGATGTATTAAAGCACTCCACATCATTTTTTCTTGTGTCCTCGGGTAACTTCCTCTTTAGACCAGAAAAACTTCTCAGTCCTGTATGAAAACCATAGTCAGCAACAGATTCATATACCAGTGAGTAAGACTCTAATTCCTTCTATCAGGAGACGGTTGTGACTTCAATAAACTAACCAGGAAGTGGATCCTCAAAACCACGTGACATGGATTCTGGATCACCACAGTTACAACGGAAGTTGGAATTATCATAATATGATTCTTGTATCCTGCAGGTTAATATACTCAACAAAGATCAGAGATGATTTAGTAAAATCCAATGTGTTTAAAATCAATCACATAAACAAAGTCTAAAAATTGGCAAGAACTAAACCCAACTGGAAGGGAAACCCCATACAACCCTGTCATTTAAATATAACCACACTTCAAAGCAAGGTCATTTTATTCCATGTATTTCAGTCTCCTCATTGAGACAGCATATGAATTTTACACAACCTGTGCATCGGACTGCAATTTTGTGAAAATCGCAAAAGTATAAAAATAAACCAACAATATCCAAAGCCAGCTTGAGGAAATCAGAAAATTCTTCCATTCAAACCTTTATCATGTACCAAAAGTTAGCCCAGATTTACACTTTCACAATCACAAGCAGTAAACATGTCCAATAAAATTATATCACTTGATTTCTCTTCCATCTATTGACTTAAGCTGAAACAAGCAGGAAATATTAGTGGCCCAGAAATGTTCTCAGTTTCCAGATTCAAAGGTGATGACATTCTATGAAGCGCTGATACCGACACGGCGTTTTCGATACATTCCCGACACGGGACGTTGATACGTTATTTCAAAAATACTAATATTTCGATACATTCTGATACGTCTTAGTATTAAATAATATTTTTAATATAAAGAGTGTATTTCACATTAAAAAAATATAATAAAAGGAAAATCATAACAAGTAATAGATTATCCATACAGAACATTATACAAAAATACTGAATCATAAAATTTAAGAAATACATACCATACAAAAAAACCAAGATAGAAAATGAGGTTAAAATAATAAAAACAGAAGCATAAATCATAAACATTATACAAAATAAAAATAAAAATTAACAGAAGAAAAATTAATTACAGCTCGTATAGAAGTTAATTACAAATTAATATGGACAATGAAACAACAAAAAAAAGGGAGAAAAAAATACACCTTACAGCTGTTTCAATCTCTGTTTTTTATGGTACATTAATGCTTTTTATTTTTTGGTAACAATATTAATGCACGATAAAAAAGAAAAAAAGAAAAGAAAAGGTGAGGTTAAAGACAAACCGACGGAGACAAAGGCACACGCAAATAGAGAGAGAGAGATAGACGCAGCGTCGAGAAGAGGAAAGATGCAAGAAGCCAAGGAGGAAAGAAGGAAGAACTGCATCGAGGAGAGGAAGAAGTGAGTCGGCAGAGACGGCAGACGGCAGACACATGAGGAGAGGAAGAAGTGAGTCATCAGAGACGGCAGACGGCAGACGGCAGTCGGCAGAAGTGAGTCGAAAGAAGTGAGGTCTCAGCGATTTCGATCTCGATTTAGAACAGAGATGGCAGACACTCGAGGTGAGTATAGAAGTGAATCAGATTTCGATTTACGGTGTATTTTTGCCCAAATCTTCAATTAAAAAAACACCATTCAGTTTTTTTAAATTCATAAACGTGCCATTTGGCCATATCGAATTTGTTGACCCATCCGATACGTAAAAATGGGTATCGAGAGCGTGTCCGTCTGGGACGCATATCCAATATGTAGAAAAAAAATTTGGGACGTATCGGTACTTCATAGATGACATTAACCTATGAACTGAGTTTGTCTATTATCAAAAGTTCAGTTCTCCTAAAAACTTAAGTTGTTAGGTGAAGGCTTATTATGGTTTTTATATCTCTAACATGCCCCTTCACATCAAGACCCATTGAGCTTGAAACATAAACATTGCACACATACAATCTACCTTGTACTAAAATTCGACATCTTTTTAAATTAAATGGGAGCAAATTTTAAGTCAAAGAGGCTCTTATATCACGTTAAAGACAAACTTCCCTAAACACTTTAGTCATTGGGTGAAGGATTGTGATTGATCCCGTAAACTCGAACAGGTATGTGTCGTCCTTATACTGACTGTGACCTATTTATTAATCCTATGGGACACCATTTTCTGCGTGACCTCCTCCAAAATATGCAATGTCATGAAAGACATCCACGGATCACATGCGGACTTGTAATATATGTCTGTAACATGCTAGCAACAATCTTAAAGGATAAAGACAATACATAGGAACTCATCTAGTTTACTTTTTTTTTGTGCAATTAGTTGACCCAATATTTCACTCAACTTACCCATTATATATGGCTCCAACCACAACCAATAAAATAATAATTAATTCAATATTTAACATCTAGGGGCCTATAAGGATAACCAATGTCATTGAGTTCTATTAGAAACTAAATTTTCAATAAACCTAACAGCAATAATTTTATCATCAAAATCCTCATAAAAATTGAAGATGCTTTGTTTGGCCATAAATAAAGAAACCAAACCTGTACATATGCTCAACAAAATCATCTATTAAAACAGGCCAAGCACCTGCAAGCACAAAAAAACAAAAAGGATCATCGCATCAAATCAATCAATCAAAACATCATGTCTACTCCCGCCACCAACACCCCCCCCACCCTCACCCCCACCCACCCCAAAAGTCCCCTTCTTTTTAAATGCAGATTCCCCAAGTAATCATATTCAACAAACTTCTGATCCAACCTTCCATTAATTAAAGGACGTCAAAAGCATTTCTTTTCTTTTACCATTTAACATGAGGATACCTTAATTTCACTTCCATATAGTAACTATCCAAACAAATATGCAGATGCAGCATGAGAAGCAGAAAGGAAATGTTGAGATATATAAAACCATTAATGTAGCCTCACCCAATAGCTTAAGCTTTTGGGTTGAATTGGTTCTTTACATGGTATCAAAGTCTCGTGTCCCGGGTTCGATCCTCGCCGTCTCCCACTTTCTTTGAAGTGGAATTTCTTTGTTCGCACAGGTAAGTGGGCCTGTGCATTGTCCATCCTTCAAGCCCAGTGGACTTTCGTGTGAGGGGGCATGTTGAGATATATAAAACCATTAATGTAGCCTCATCCAATAGCTTAAACTATTGGTTCTTTACAGGAAATAACCATGCAAGTACTAGTGCATTAAATAAGACTTACATGACAATGGAAAGAGGTAAAAAGTGTGAATATCAACATGTCTGTAGCTAATTGTAAAAGTACAACATGAGAACAGTACCTTCAGGATCATATGCTTCCAGATTATCCCGTGTACACCAGCTAAAAGCTAGAACCTGCTGCCACGTATCCTCCGAGATGTTGTATCGTTGATTTTTCTAAATTAAAAGTAATAGATCAGCTTCCAACAGAAGAAAAGTAAAATAATACAACCCTACTAAGTTGTAGACCAAGATTACAAGTAACCCTAACCCTAGAGCAGGATTAAAAGGGATGGCACATGAATCAAGGCCTGTTTTCGCAGCTCTACAGCCTTATCCTAGATCATAAATTTGGCCTCGAACAACATATTCCCTCACCAAATCAAAATTATATGGTTTTGGAGGAGGCCATTTCAACCCACCTTTTGCCTCATGACAACACTGCTGTAACAATGTTGTATCCAATAATTTTTTAGAATTTTCACTATCCTTGAGTTAAGTGTCCCATGTAGTATCCGGGCTTCCATACATCCCCCCAAGTGAACAATGTACCCAATCTATGAAATTCTGATCCTTCCATTACTAGACAGCATTCCCATACGAAATTTTGTACATTGTGAAAATTATAAGGCTTCCCCCTCAAACACTACCCCCCGTGATTAAGGAAAACCCCACATAAGTTTCTGAGCCCTCCAAGTATTATTGTACCTCAACAAAGTCACACCATGGATGAAGCAGTGGAAACCGGCCAGCAAGAACTAATTTCCATGCAGTTACTGCCCTGCTTACAGCTGTAAATTATCAAGGTTTTAAAAGTGAAGGAAACAACCAGTAAGTATTACATACTTCTTCACCACTATATGGAATTCAACAGAAGATTATGTACTTACTAATATTCTTTTGACCATTTTCGCGACACATGAAGAAAACAAAATCATAAAAACGAGAGAATTCTGAAAAGTCCACCTAGACAGAGTAACAAGGGAAGCACATATTTAAATTAAAGATGTAGAAGAGGTAAAATAAGAAAAAAATAAAAATAAAAAACAGAAAATCAGTGCTACAATAATAAGCATCATGCTATATCTTTTTTTCTTGTCTCTCCTTATAGTATACAGAAAGCACATTCTCCTAAAATTTAACATTTTTCCACAAATCTCAGTGACAGAGGCAACTGAGGTCTATGAAGCACCGATACTCCGAATTTTTTTTCCAACGTATCGAAAACGTATTGTATCGTATCGACGAATTAATGGTCGTATCGAGAACGTATTTGGAACGTATCGAAAACGCCGTGTCGGAGTCGGTGCTTCATAGACTGAGGTTAATAAACTTATTTAGTGTCTTACTTCTGTGCATCCAACTACTACAAATGATAGAATAGCAAATAAATTCTTGTTTTATAATTGAGAAAAGGAAATGCTAACACCTGCTGTGTATTTGCAGAACGAAAATTTTTATAGGATAAAAACATCTGAAATTGTATGACTGAATAATGTCAAGAAATCAAAACTCACCATCAAGTCCAGCCGTGACATGAGCATTGAAAGTTCATCAAAAATTGCAACCCTGGAATATTTGGCATGTCAAGAAATTTCCAGTAGGAAAAGAAAGATGCTAACATGGTGCAATTGTATGATTTTATGTACATTTAAATGTCATTAACCTATACATGATACAGAAGCAGTAACTTCAAAATGCACATAACACTGACAATTAGCTGGAATGGGAAAACAAATTTGTTCCTTTAGAAGCATACTTTAATTCAGATTGCAAATATAAAGCACACAAGATCCAAACAAGACCGTAGGTTGTCACTAGCAGCCGGTAGCGCCACTAAACCGCTACCATAGCGGGTAGCAGCGGCCGGCCACTACAACCGCGACGCTGGCCGGTAGTAAAAAGTAGCGGCGTAGTGTAGCGGCAATACCACTACCCGTTACACTGTTATAGCATTAGTTCAAGTGAAGATGAAAGTGAGGGAGAAGATTTATTGGAATTTGATGGAGAATCTGGAGATTATGTTGATTTTCTTCGTTAGTTCACTTCTTGTATTTTACTATTTGACAATTTAATTGTTCATTTGTGTTTAATTTTGGATCCTTCCTTTATGTTCCTTGTATTTGACATTGATTGTGGAATTATGTGTTTGATTTTGTGTGACTTCTTATGTTTGAGCATTTATATTTGTGTAGTATTAGACTGTTAGTATAATATACATGGAATTAATACTTCACCGTAGCGGCAATACGGCTACCCGCTACACTGCTATACCATTTTCGGGGTCGGCCGCTACCGACCGCTAACTGCTACTGACAAGTATGACAAGACCCCAAAAACTGCCAAGACTAAGCTGAAGCCCTCATTTTTCCAATATACCATAAACATCATATTGTAGAAAAAGAAGAAGTGTCTTTCTGAGTCCAATCTATTACCACCAATTGCAGAGAGAATCAATACAAATTCCTTACATATTAATAAACTACTTGGGCCAATCCCCTCACTTCAACTTATCTGATAATTTTTTTAGAAATCAATAAATTAGCATCAGAATTCCAAAATTAATATTAGAGCAACAACTACTTGGCTTCAAAAATTATCCTGAGAAAATCTCAAAGAGACACAGACCCTGTACTAACTCGAGACTCCACCAATTTTGAGAGCTGTGTCAGTGCCTCCCTTGAAACCTTAGCCTTCTGAACGTCACTGTCTTCTCTGTACTCTTCTTCCCCAACAACATATGCATGTCCTGATTTTATATCTGTACAAACATACTCAAAAAATTAACAAAAAAAAAAAAAAAAAAAATCACATATATCGCCACAAACATAATTAACGAAAAAAGTTAAATTAAATTCAAAAATTCTTCTTCTTCTTCTTATGATCAAACCCAGAAAAAATAAAAATTATTTCAGCCACCCAAATGAAAAAAATCAAAAAAATAAAATTTGCTGCATAATCTAGAAACCAATTCGTATTTGTTCCATATTAAAAAGAGGAAGTGAGGGAGATTACCACAGTATTTTCGATAAATCTCGAATATGTTGATCCGAGATGCATCCATCGAGAAACTTGCCCTCCTAAGCTCTTCGAGAGCAAGTAGCGAAGGGTGCTCCTGATGATAATGAGAGAGAGAGAGAGAGAGAGAAACAGTTATTAATAATCGAAATCCAAACACGGTCCAGTCACTAATTTGAAATTTTCAATTTATTTTCAGTGTTCAATTCCCTTGTGCTAAATAAAAGAGAAGAAATTGTACTTTCATCATATTCATTTCTATGCACGAGACTCATCTCTTATATTGTATTTATATAAAAAAAATATCTTTTTTATTTTATTTTAATTTGGTGAACCTCACTTTATTTATTCGACAAAAATAATTTCTCTACATATGTAAATCCCATAAAAGAGAGCAATCACGTTTACAAATTACAAGTTCAAACAATCTACGTCACGTTTTGGATTTTGTGATAAATTTTACTCACACCTAATGATTTACAGCCTAAGTAATTAATAAATAAGAATTATTAGATACAATTTAAATTAAAGATAGGATATTGTTACTATCAATTATTATTATTATTATTATTATCAATATGAGTATCAGTTTGTTTCACCGTTAAATTGATTATATTGATGCAACGTTTATATTTATTTTCATCTTTGTATGGTTATAATTTTCCATATTTAATGTTTTCACATTAAATATGATGAATCATAATCATATAAGGTGAAAATAAATATAAAGTATTAAATATAGGGATAAGAAAGAAGGTTTTTAGAAAATTAAATCACAGCTATTGAATTAATATAATCGATCTAACGGTGAAACAAACTGGTAATAATATTGGTAGTAACAATATCTTATCTCTTAAAATTAATAGTTAAAATTATATATAAATCTTATTTATCTTTATATAAGTTGATGATTCCCAATTTGTATTGGAAATCCATGCTGTCATTTGTAAATTCGGAGTGTATCTATCTTTGGGCGGTAGGATGTAATTACCATCAATTAAGTTTATTACTTCTTACCACCGAATCTTAACCGTTGATTTTCGCTAATCTGATAGTTATAATTTATCAAGAATTAATAATTAATTAATAAGTGTCATCCAATAAATTATAACTGTCAAATTAATAAAAATCAACTGTTAAAATTTGGTGGTAAACTTAATTTGTGATAAGTGAGTCCTTCCCCTCTATCTTTTATGATATCACAAATTTTAATAAAATCACTCCCGTTAAACATTTGTAACAAAAAGAACAAATATCATTTATGGGTTCGTTTTTTCTGCAGTTACTGCAGATAAATTATCTGCAGTAAGCCAATACGACGTCGTTTTGGGACAAAAATCATAGTATTTTTGTAATTTTAATTTATTTCAGGGTTATAATAGTCTTTATATTTATAATTTTTTAAGATTTCAATACCAAAATGACGTCGTTTAAAGAATAAATGCAGATAACTTATCTGCATTAACTGCAGAAACATTTTTCTCATCATTTATATGTATTTTAGGGAAAGATTATATTTATAACTTTTTTTGTCATACGTCTTTATAGTTATTTTTATTATCGTTATATCAAAATTAAACCAACAATTATAAAATGACACGAGAGTTGTTAATTTGATTTTGATCTTGTTAATTTGATTTTGATTGAATAATAAATAAGATAATTATAAAAGGTGGTAATGCAAAAGAGGTTATAGGATTAAAGAGATTTATTCCCATTTTATTATTAGATTAATAAATTTTATAAATATGTGATTTTTATTATTCATTTTATGACATTTCACATAAAATCTAAAGTATATAATTCTTTTGTAAAAAAAATATTACGTTACTAAAGTGATTTATTTCTTGGTTTAAATAACTTTAAGAAAAATATTTTAAAAAGAATTTATATTATATGTAAGCGAGTAAATAATATTATATTCGTCTAAAATCATAGGTGCTGCTGCTATCATTGGATGTTCCAATTCGTCTGATGATATCAATAACTCATTTATAGTGAAGATTTTGCTCTATTTAGCTTTAAAGACAACATCATCAGTATTAAGCTTGAAGTGGCCTTCGGGGGAAACTAGGAGCAATAAAACACGCTTTCTCAATAAAACATTTTTAACTCAAAACAAGAATAAAGTGAAGAAAAGCCTACCTTGAGCATGACCTGATTATTAGCACCATCCTTTAGGTCCAAACTACCTGAACTCAGAACCTGTTATCTACTCAAAACTTCTGATCCAATACCCAATTCTTTGATGAAAGAACAAGCTACGAGTATATGACCATACATTATACACCAGTATTGAATATTGAGTGTACTTTCAGTTTTTATGAGTTTGAAGTGGTTATGCAATTAAAAAATAATAATGAATTAAACCTTCACTTGTATTCCTCAGCAGCAAAACCATGATATCAAATAAAAAAACAGTGCAAAGTATTGGAAGTAGCAGGACTTTTATTACCAGATAACAAAACAAATTACACGTATTGTAGAATTGTATCCTAATCAAAAGTGAGGCTAAGTTTGGGGGCAAGGGGAGGGGGTGAGTTAACAAGAAGCTCTACTCAGTTTACAGGTATCTGTGACTAGAATGACACAATTTTGTCATCATCACCAATAATCGCCACAAGAACAACTCCCATTTCTAAAATGGTGAAATCTACTAGCATCTCTTACAACAATTTCTCGTCCTGTAACCATGGCTATAAGTTTAATTGCATTATGGCAGTCAAAACATACACGATGGCCCTGAGTAATTTGCAAAGGTGTCCAATCTAGAGTGTTGATCAGGCCAAAAGCTATTGCCAACTTTTCACTATGGTATTTTAGAATGCGCTGTTCCTCTTCATCCACATCAGGAAGCAAAGTTTCGTCCTCCACAACATAACCATGTCTAGATATCTCGACCATCAGGTTGTCCACTTTTTGGTATATTTCTTTTGTTTGGGTGTGAGATTTATCTCCACAAAGGAAGTAATATGGCTGTTTCTTGACTTCAATCCAGCTACAAGCTGGAAGCATTCTTAAACCCTTTTTCTTTAACGTCTGTAAAACACCAGCAGCTTCCTTCAATTTGCCAGAACTGTTGTATATATTCAGAAGTACTACATAATTACACAGTTTTTCAGGCTCCATCCCGTAAAGTTTTTCAGCTGCAAACTTCCCAAGCTCTAAATTCTCATTCATTCTGCATGCTGTCAGCAATGCTGCCCACATATTTGTTGTTGGTTCGAAAGAAACACTTCTTATTAGTGCAAAAGCCTCATCTAGTAACCCCTCTCGACCTAAAAGTTCAATCATACATGCATAATGCATTGCTCTGGGCTTAACCTTGTGATCTCTACTCATAGAGTGAAAAATCTCCCAACCTCGTTCAAATAATCCTGAATAGCTACAAGCAGATAATACAGCGAGGAAAGTGACATGATTTGGAATCATCCTTTCTCGAAGCATCTGCTCAAACATTTTTATTGCCTCTTCCCCCTGACCATGATTACCGTATCCAGCAATCAATGCATTCCAAGATATAACATTCTTGCGGCGCATCCTGTCAAAAACATTTCGAGCAACTTCCATCCTACCCCATTTACTATAGAAGTCAACAAGTGCTGTGTTGGCCACTATATCTGTGCCAAAACCATGACGAACTAATGCAGCATGAGCTTGTTTTGCATGTTCAAATGATGCCAATCTTGCACAAATTCTTATCACTATTGAAATAGTAAAATGGTCCAATTTAGCACCACTATCACGCATATCAAAGTATATACAAAGAGCTTCCTCACTATAACCATGAAGTGCATGGCCAGCAATTATGGAATTCCATGCTACAGTGGTCTTCTCCGGCATTTGATCAAATACACATTGGGCATCTTCAATGCTACCACACTTGCTGTACATGTCAATCAATGCACAAGACACAAAATTATCCTCAGCCAACCCTTTTTTCAAAGCACAGGAATGAATTTGTCTGCCCACCTGAATAAGACCCAATCCAGCCGATGCCCGAACCATGGTGGCAAAAGTGCGAGATCTGCCATCGTTAAACTCTTCCCACATACATAAAAACAACCTAAAAGCCTCAGGATAATTCCCAGAATCCACAAGACCACCAATCATAGTCATCCAGGAAACTGTGTCTCTCTCCGGCATTTCACCAAACAGCTTGCGTCCATCAATAATCAGACCACACTTCACGTGCATAAGCAAAACCCTGTTCATCATATACAAATCAAGTTCAAACCCACTACTGATCATATAATTAAACACCCTCTTAACGCATCTAATCGATCTCAAACCAAGACAAGCATTCACCAAAGCATCATATGTGCTACTACCCACATCAGAACCATCATGTTCATGTTCCAAAATTTCAAACAACTCCATTGCCTCCCGGTACCTATTACACAAAACCAACTTCTCTATCTGACTACAGAGCCCAGAAGAGAATGATTTCCTGATCTGGGTATCATCCAAAACTTGCACTCGTCTATCCTCATACTCAATTTTCTCGGGTTTGGGTCGCAGCCGTTGTTCCATGGAGGAAGAACAACAAATCCGGAAAAAGGGGTTGCTCCAATTCCTCACCTTTAAGGCTAAACAGCGCCCAAAGAAGGAATAGGAAAAGTTCCGGGAATAGGAAGAACCCAGAAAGGAAAATCGACAAGGGTTTTGGAACTGGTCGAACGAGAAGGTTTGGTAACGGGAGAGTGGAATTTCCATTGTTGCCAATAACAATTGTGGTGAATAAGCAATGGTGCCTTCTTCATTTCATAGTGCTGAAGAAGAGGGTTTGAATTTGAATGTGAATGTGAATAACGTGAAGAGTGGAAGAAGGTGAGAGTTGGAACGAGTCGGCATCACCCACATCGACGTTTCCGCCCAGATTTAGAACAGGTAGGTTAGGTTTGGTAGTTAATTCTTAGGAACCTGTTCTTCGCTTTTTTAATTGTTTTCAACATTATCTATAGATTTTTTAATTTTAATAACTCGGTTGTTCGTTGGTGAGTTTACACTTTACACCACTGTCCTTTATATGTGCATCGAACACAACTTGAGTTTCCAAAAAACCAGTGAAGAAAGAAAAAAAAAAAAGGGAAAAAAAAAAGAACTTCGGAAAAACTTTTAAAGGTAAAAAAAATGCCATGTTATTATTTAGAATTTAGTGTTTGTCATTTTAAATGATATAAGTTATGTCATTTTAAAAGAGATAAACACAAGAAAATGGAAATCATAGGAGAGAGAAAGTGTGTGATTTTTTTTAATTTAAAATTCAATTAATTTTTTTTTTCTGTGTCTGTCTCTCTCTTAAAAGGGCGAAGTGTTATGTCATTTAAAATGACAAACTTTTCCTTATTATTTATTCTCTAATTGATGGTTTTCAAATAATTAAATGTAAAATGAGAGTGAAATACTGACATGGAATATGAGCCCGTTTGTTTGGGTTTTTTAAAAAAATAGCTTTTATTTTTTTTCTTATTTTAAAATTACTTTTTATAAAAGTTAAAGTTATTTATATTTTTATACACCCCTCTCTACTCGGGTAAATAATTCAAACATTTTCCAGATTCAAGAAATATACCCGGGTAGGGAGGGGTGTACCCGGGTAGGTAAAAAATTTTAAAATTTACCCGGGTAGGTAGGGGTGTACCCGGGTAGGCTTCATGGTCAACGGTCAAACAGGGGCAGATTGGTGTTATGTTTTCTGGAGAGGTTAAATTTTTGAAATAGTTTATAAATAGGGTCAATTTGGTAATTAATTATTAAAAAAAGGCTATAGTGGTTAAAAAGCCTAATAATCCTCCTTAGAAGTATTAAATGCAGGCTTTTTGACCCTTATAACCCTTTATTATTAATTAATTACCGATTTGACATTGATTATAAATTATTTCAAAAATTTAACCCCCTCAAAAAACATAACATCAATCTGTCCTTGTTTGACCGTTGACCACCAAGCCTACCCGGGTACACCCCTCTCTACCCGGGTATTTTTTGAAAATTTTTGTCTACCCGGGTAGAGAGGGGTGTACCCGGGTATTGATCTTCGCACTGAGAAATTGCTTGAATTATTTACCGGATAGAAAGGAGTGTACCCGGGTAAATCGTCGACCACCCAATTAGCTCCCTTTCTTTCTTTTCATCTTCACCTTCACCTTGTTGCGGATTTTATAGGTCTTGAAGATGATTGGAAATGCATCCAACGAAGTTTGCAACGAGTTCGTAGCAAGACAATTTAAACACTGCATTCCTCTTATTCAGTATCCTCTCTACCTTCGTCTTTATTAACTCCACGCACGAGTTCCTGTTTTCGAATTTAAATTCAAAAATAAAAAAAATAATAAAAAAACAGGTTCCAAAAAAAGACAAGGAAAACAAGAAACAAAAACAAAATGCAGGTAAACAGGAATTTTGGCTTCAACAACCAGTCCAACATTTTCAGTCCCCCAGAATCTGCATATATGAAGCTGGCAACGATGAAATTCAAGAACGGCCTCCAAATAAGAATGAACATCAAGTTATACAAAAAACAAGGATTCTTGAGAGAACTTAAACAAAAAAGAAATGGAGCTTTACCAATGAGAGAAGAATGAGTATCCAAGAAAAATATGGGTAAAGCAGCTTTGTCCAGAGAAAGAGAAAGAAGAAAGAACTTAGAAAGGTGCTAAAAATAGTTTCTTGATAACCAAGAAGAAAATTCAACAGGAAAAGCGAGGAGAATTTAGCAAGAGAGAAAATGGGTGCCAATAGGAAAACAATAGGCAATAAAAAAGGATCTATGAAATTGGCCACAAGAAACAGAGATAATGAAATATGAACAATTTTGAAAACAAGAGATAAATGGTCATTGCAGAATCTAAAGATTGCAACGAGAATTGGGTGGTCGAAGATTTACCTGGGTACACTCCTCCTTACCCGGGTAAATAATTCAAGCAATTTCTCATGTGCGAAGAACAATATCCGGTAGACAAAAAATTTCAAAAAATACCCGGGTAGAAAGGGATGTACCCGGGTAGACTTGGTGGTCAACTGTCAAACAGGAGCATATTGGTGTTATATTTTTTGAGAGGGTTAAATTTTTGAAATAGTTTATAATCAAGGTCAAAACGGTAATTAATTAATAATAAAGGATTATAAGGGTCAAAAAGCCATTAAATGCATGTTGTTTTTGTTTTTGTTTTTCCTTCCTAAGTAATTATGATTTGTAACTTACATAGACTAAGCAAAATCACCTTCATCGGATCATTTAAACCAAGTTCAAAATAGATAAAGCATGAAACCTCGCACATTTAAATCTTCGATTAGACAAGAACCTGATTATCACAATAACCCTTTCTTGCACGGAAGAACAACCGATGCCCTGAACAACATCGCCACAATCAAACTCACAACTTAATTGATAAAACCTGTAACTAGTCAATATAAACTTAGTTCAACACAAAATAAGGAAATAAATCTCTTCAGATTTTATGAATAAAAGTCAAATCTTCTTTTCTTTTCCCACTAATGTATGCCTTTTTGAAGAAACAAATTACAAAACAAATAGAATTTAAAATCCTAAAACTAAAATATAGATAAAGTTAACCATTGAGATAATTACCTTCTAAATAAAATAAAAATTCCTAAAGATAAAGATAATTATCTCCGAAAATAGAAATAAAAAATTAAAGATAAAGATAAAGATATGGATAAAGACAACTAATTACAATTAGATAAACCTATTATATGATAAACTCAAGTTCAAAACATGTTCCACATTTTAGTTCTCAAAATAGGGATAGGATATTATGACAACCAAATAATGTTACAACCAATGTTACTACCACTAATCTCACCGTTAAATTGAAAATCTTATCTGACGGTCCTGATTTAATGTATATATAGTCTTCTTTCTTCCCTTCTCTCTCGTTAGACGCTCTGCCATCACCTCTGTCGCTGTCCACCGTTAAATCGAATCTGATAAAAATCGAATCTCGAAAGTTGTCGCAGATTTCACCGTGGATCTGCTCCACCTGAGAACTCATCTGCAAGTTAGTGGCAGAAACCCCATCTTTGTTATAGTTTATGTCTCCCCCAACAAAACCCGGGCGAGAATTGATCTTCCGGCAGAAACCCTAACTCGTGGATTAGGCGAAGCTCTCTGCGGGATGCATAGCCATTGATTTTCTCGGGTAAAATGATAAACGGCGACGGCGGTAGAATGCAGCGGCGTGGAAGAGTGCGGTGGAGAGGGACAGCGGCAGAGGTGATGGCAGAGCGTCTAACGAGAGAGAAGGGAAGAAAGAAGACTGTATATACATTAAATCAGGACCGTCGGATAAGATTTTCAATTTCACGGTGAAATTAGTGGTAGTAACATTGGTTGTAACATTATTTGGTTGTCACAATATCCTATCCCCTCAAAATAAGTCAATTTTTTTAAACCTAATTTCTTGGAAATATTGGTCACGCTTAATGAGTCATAATTTCTTGAATCATCATGTTTTCTTGAATATATTTGCCCAAGCACTTATAATTAAACCAATTCAACCTTGAATCGAATCATCGAGACAAGAATTTCTCCCTTCCAAACAGCTCCTTGGAAGGATGCAATGATGTGTTCATATCACACCATTAAGGAAGGTATTTCAGATTTATTTGACAAAAATGGAAATTCTATTGCATTGTTAAGAAAAAAGCATTAAAATAGAATAATTTCATTGCTTAAATAATGCATAAAGTGTGAAATAAAACCGCGATTTCAACGAATTTATTCCAAATCAAAACACTTTCATAAATTTTCGATTTTAGTTGACGTTCTATGGATGCAATTTTAACAAATATAGTTTCAAGTGATTTCAACTTAAAAAGGAAAAGGTTTGATTAATGAAATATCTTACAGCAAAAGAAAGAAAAAAACAAAGTAAAAAAAATCTTATAGTCTGATTCAAAGCAAACCAAAAAAGAGAAATATTGAAATATACAACATCATTAAATTGCATGTTAATCTGTTTAAATTTTGATGTGAAGTGTTGGGCACAATGATCACTGAACATTTGTTAGATGACCTTTCATTACAACCTCAGGATATTTTATGTGGACAAAAATAAAAGGTTACAATAGCCTTATGAAGTTATTATAGGGGCAATCTTTTGGTGTTCAAAGCCATGAATTAGCAGATCCGGGGGGAAGGAAACCCATGAAATATCAGGTTACGTAATAATATCTAATCAATGGCGAATTTGACATATGGATTTACCATCTTGACAACTTCAATTCAATAATTTCAGCAAATAATACCATGATGTATTACTTCTAGTATAGGTGCGTGTGAAACAAAGATTTTTTCATATGAATTTCCTAAACTTCACCCTGCTATTCATCAGAACTTTTAACTGATTACTCAGATATTAACAGTTAAAAGAAAGGGAAAATTTCTTATATGCTCTGTGTAAAATGCACCAAGACCAAATATTGTAACACATATCATATCAATGCGGTTTAACTTTAAGAGGAAATCTTAACTGTGGGGTGAAATGCACCTGAAGTAAGTAAAAATTGTTTGGAAAGAAGGGCTGGGCCCAAGTGTCAGTTTATGCTGATCCGAATTAGAAGTTCTATCCTCTCATTTTCCTTCTTAGAGAGAAAGGCACAAATTTTCATGTGCAAGAATCCACCTTTACCTGTGCAGGGCTGCTACTCTCTCTCTCACAAATTGACAGTGTCATATTTTTAAGGAAAATTAGAGAATCCAAATCCTCCAAATTAAACAGTTTTTTTTTTTCCAGTAATCTGAAGGGTATCCTCCGTTCGTAACCGAAGACTAATCCCCAATCGAGCACTGTCGGACCCTTTCGGGGGCGGCTCTCCCAAATCTTTTTTTTCCATTTCCAGGGCTCGAACTCGAGACCTCTGGTTAAGAGACCCAGGCTTCTTACCACCTGTGCCAAAGAAGTTTGGTAAATTAAACCGATTTTAACTAAAAGATTTGTCTTCTATCTTTTTGAAAGAAAAAGTGAAAACTTCACAGTTAAAGATATAATAAATTGGTACCCTTACTTTATACTACACAATCTCATCAGTTGCCAATTAGGACTGTCTCATCCGCCTACAGAGGATATGAATATCAACACCAAGCATTTGAAAAGCAGGATGATAATGATGCAGAAGAATTTTCATGGAATAACTTAAATACAGAAGGTAAGACATTTCAACCTAGACACAGATGATTAGTATTCAAATGGACAATTGAACGATCAAATATGTTCAGATTATCATTTAAAAAAATAAAATAAAATCAATCACAATAAAGAACAATGTAGCAAACAATATTTAGCTCAGTGAATTATAAAATAACATCAAGAAATAACGACACATGCTATTCAAACCGGTTTGTTATGTCATCTGAGAACTGCATATTCTCCCTCCAGTTACCCATCAACTGCGGAAGAGAATCACTTGCCCAATCACCTCAGGTTATTGCAAATGAAAGAAATCAATTTAATGCTAATGACATTTATACACATCTGCATAGACAAACCAAATGGGTTTGGTCAGCAAACATTACATTTGCTGCGCAGCCAAGATGTGGAAATTTTAAATAACATTATCACCAAGATGTGGAAATATTTTAAGTTAAGCCAATCTAAGCACATACCAGCAATAACTAGAAATGCTATTGCAACCAAAAGTTAAACCAAACAGACCCTGATTCAAATAGAAAACCAAAGATTATGGATACCTGCATAAAAGATAACTTGGACATGAGCAATCCACTTCATGGTTCACATCACAGGCAACCTCTCCTAGAAGAGTCAGCCTACAATGACAACCGATGCAATAAACAATTTACATAGTTAATTGACAAAGTGCACATCACTGTCTAACTGTAGAATCAAGTATAAGAGAAAATATTAAAATTCAGTGAATTAGTTGCGCTCTTAAACAGCATTTCTGAGATTAGAACTCAACAGAGTTCAGCTGTATGTTCATAAAGACCAGAACAACAACTTGCTCCTTTGAGATCTGCACCCTACAAAAAGATTGGCAACTTTAATCCTGGTCACTTATAACAAAAAACTGAAAGAACTGTAACCATGAGAAATAATAGAAAATCAGAAACACAATTTAAAAGAACAGTAAATTTTGCGTTTTAGAAGTGAAGTAAATCAAATTAAAGGATTTTTATATTCTCAGATATAAATATCCAAACTGTGTATGATCCATAGTTCCCTACAACTTATTGCCAAGGGGGGGCTTATTTAAAAGACAGCCTAATTCCAAATAGAATGAACGTATAACTATAAGAAATTCCTCTGCCCATTTAAGACTACATTCTTATTCAATTATCCTCTCCTGCCTATAAAATTAACAGTCTTTTTTCTTTTCTGTGTATTCTACTTCTTGCTCCTTCGATTCTTCTTCGGACCCGGAACTTCTAACCTACCAATAGAACATCCACACCTTGCTCTGAGAACAAGAACAGCCCTCCCATTGGGGGGAGCTATCTTCTTGAGCTCGGCTTGGAGTTCGCGATGATGATCACAAGGAAGCTTAAACAGACCCTTCTTAATTCCACCATCCTTGGCCAATGAAGGAGAATTCTTCACACAATCCTCAGTCTCCAACTGAATATCAAACTCTGCAGCCTTTCTGAGACCCTTGCAATTGGGTTTCCCACATTTCCTTGTTGTGAAAGACACAACAACCCATGTAACCAATGCAGAACAGGTTACACTAACTCCTATGGACATGTAGATCCAAGGACCATCTGAAGCCTCTTCTTTCACCAAATCCATGAATAAGCCACCAATCTTCACAGTTTCCCTCGCCAAAACCTGAATGTATGGGAACAACAAGAACCCGAAGGCGGCGACAACCGCCACGAATATAACCACATCCACCACCGCCGATCGAGATCGCTGGCAGGGCGGAATCTGCAGGGAATTGGGTGTCTTCCGATTCCTCGATTTCGAAACCAAATCAACGGAATTCGCCATGGATGGTGGTTGGTCAACGGAGGAGTTGCAGAGAGAGATTGAGCTATGGAAATAGACCATTTCAATCACCACCCCAGAAACCCGAATCGGATCAAAACCACAAATATATGGACCCGAATTCGATCGACCCACCTCGCCAAAGACCAAAAAGATGATAAATTTAGAGTAACCAAGAAGTTTGAAGATTCGTGGGGTGCCCCAGATAGGTCAAAAGGATCAATTTTTGGGGGGGATTTTTTTTTTTTTTTTTTTTTTGCAGCGAATTGTGATTGGTGTAACACAAGGGAAGAAAATGGAGAAAGATGGGAAAGTTGGAGTGTGAAATGGGTTTAGGTTAGGCCGGCTTGAAAGGTTGCAGAGAGAATAAGAAGACGAAGAAGCATCCTAGCTTCATTGTTTTTGTTATCATCGCATCCTATAAATATTATCAACAAGTTCACAAAGGGAGCGTAGTGGATAGGTTGTTTTGTTGCTACTTCTTGCAAGGACTTGGAGGGTCAAATGGTCAATGATGGACAAATGGGGTCATTACATTAGCTCATTTTTCATATATGCAAAGAACACGCTTTTGTTCAATAGTTTTGTGCATTTGTGGGCTATCTATCATGGAATGGGCTTTTATAAAAGCTTTGATTTTGTGTCAATGATTTTTGTGTGGGGGCATTCATTTGGGCTTGGCTAACTTCTCTTTTGAGATAATCCAATTATGCCAAACATGTTCTTGGTTTGTGAAAAGAAAAAATTTGGCATTATACAATGGGATTTATTAATTTTATGTTGCATGAGATAATTATTTCATCCAACAGAAATAAAATTGTGAGGTCCACTACTTTTTCAAAAAGAAAAACAATAATAATAATAGATCCCATTATTTTGTCTCTGTTGCATGAGATAATTATCTCATGCAACATGAGATAATTATTTCCCTTATACAATTCATGCACTTAAATATTCCAGTTTATTGACCATAAGCTCCCACGGTTGTCCGAGTTAGGACTTTATGGACATCTAAACTTGACCAAGTAATAGCAGTCCCAACCTATAAGCTGCTCTTATGTTAACCTGAGCTTCGACCTTTGGGCTAAAGCACCATTTTAAAGTTTTTGGACAAAAGAATTGTCCGGTTAAAGCTGATTGGATAAGTTTTCCCAAAGCAATGCAGTCAAACATGTCACCTATGCTGACGGGACTAGTCCCGTCACTGATACTGACGGGACTCGTGCCACGTCAGCGCCACGTAGGCAGTCCAATTACCGTAAAGCTTCGGAAAGCCATAACTTGTGACTCGGGTATCCAAATCAGATGATTTTTTTATTTCACATAACTTTTCAAGATCTACGCAATGACACCTCATTTGATATATTTTATCTCCCACAAACATAGTATTATGGATAAACACTCTTGTGATTGTGATACAATTGTTACAAATTCAAACTATGTTTGTGGGAGATAAAATATGTCAAATGAGGTATCATTGCGTAGATCTCGAAAAGTTATGTAAAATTAAAAAAAATCATCTGATTTGGATACCCGAGTCACAAGTTATGGTCTTCCGAAGATTTACAGTAATTGGATTGCCTACGTGGCGCTGACGTGGCACGAGCCCCGTCAATCAGTGACGGGACTAGTCCCGTCAGCATAGGTGACATGTTTGACTGCATTACTTTAGAAAAACTTATCCAATCAGCTTTAACCGAGCAATTCTTTTGTCCAAAAACTTTAAAATGGTGCTTTAGCCTCGACCCTTGGGGTTATGAAACATACAAGTAGATTTGGTAAAGTGGGGCTGAGGCGCTGAGCCCTTTAACCAATATTATAAAATTTGACCCGATCCATCCGGTTCAATCTTGACCCGTAAATTGGACCTTCAATTCATTTGGATTAAATATTAGACCGGTTATACATTTGATCAAGTATGAAATCAGTGAACCAATATTAAATTGGTATTGATTTTTTAAAAAAAATCAATTTTGTGGAATTTTTGATAAAATGCTTGACCACTAATGAGATTCAAATCTAGATAATGTAGATTATAACTTATAGCACTTACTACTAATCTAATTCTAATTATTAACTAAAATGCTTCTAATTTTATATTTATTGTATTTTATTATATATATTTAATTCATACAGTTGAACCGGTGTCTTATTGACTTAGTACCCCGACTGATTCAATGACCGGCTCGAGTTTGATAACACTATTGTCAATCCACCAAATCGAGACGGGTTGAGTTGTATATTTCAATTTACCAACCCAATATAACCCGCCTATATGTAAGGTGTGTTAAAAAATATGTTAGGTGTGAGAGGGTCAACCCGTAGGTCTTTTTAAAAAGAAAAGAAAACAAAGATATCAAATGTTAGATTATGGCTGAGTTGGTCTATGTGAATGGTAATTGTGGGAGATAAAATCTCTTCCTTTAGAGTCGTAATGCTATTATTTTGCTCGGAAAATTATTTTTTATTCACTTTTGATCCGGTAGAAAAAGAGATTAACACAAAAAATAAAAGAAACTTAAACCTGTTTTTGGACAAATTGTTATTGAAGACAGTGGGTGATATTATATCACTAATAGATTTGAACCCATGTATAAAGCAGAGGAGGTAGATGATCAGAATTATCACTGTGTAATTAAAAATATTAAAAACAGACTTACTTGTCAGTGGCAGAATGATGAAACAGACAGAATGAAAGGATGAATATATGCAGTATCAGAGGAATTAAATCTGAGCCCACAGAACGTGTCTCCTTAAGACAATTTGCCCCCTCACTGATGCCTAAGGTTGATGGACACTTGTCTCCCAGGATAGAACGGATTTCGTCTGAAGAATGGTGGCACTACCAATCAACAGCCCAAACGAACACAACAATATGCCAGAGGAAGTCACACCGGAGGATGAACAACAGTATGCAAAACCGGAAGAAGAAAAAATTCCGGCAGAGTTTAAGTGCAGAAAAAACTGGATAGATTTCTGAAGGTGTCAGTGTCTATTTATAGACACTAACCGGTCACGATGAACAGTCGCCGGCGGCGAACCGCCGTGTCTGATGGCGGCGAACGGGTGCGACCGGTGACTGTTCCGACGAACAGATACGACCGGTGACCGGTTCAGCGAGCAGACACAACCGGTGACTGGTTCACGAAGGGAAAGAACCGGTTCGGTAGAAACGTTTTGGTTGGAGGGAAGCAATGGTAAATTTTTGGACAAAATAAAAAATTATTTAATAAAAAATTATTTTTTATTACACACTATGAACCGAACCGAACCGAACCGAACCGATCCGAGCCGGCCGGCGGCGGCGGCGCGCGCGTGTGTGGTGAACCAATACTCACCTAGCTCTTCCCCCTACATAAAACATGTAGTGACCCAAGGGCCAATCTAAGAGAGGGAAGTGGGAGCTTATATACTCTCCCATTTCCTACTAATTGTCCAATGTGGGACTTGTTGAAACTCACACACCTCTTCATCTTCCCTTTTCTCTTTTCTTTATTAACCCACTTCTTATTCATAACCAATGGATCATTGTACATTAATTCATTCATTAATTCCAACAATCCCCCACATGGATAAGAAGTCAAATCATCGTGACAAAATGCATAGGAGTATAAATGCAAAGTGTAAATTCCTCAACGAGAAACAACTGCATCGAGATAGGTGGAGTTACCTTTGAACCTTCTCTAGTGAAAAACTATCGGATATACTCGGTCAATCGGTGGTCTAGGTCGACTTGAACCGTCAACCTTTAGTGTATACCTAGACAATATGAGTCACACAATTGTTTCTCTAGCATTGTTGGTCCTTTGTTGCGCCCATTTTGGCCGTGGGACACCTGCCTGGTTCTGCGAGTGTTTTAGAGAATCGGCCTTTAAAAATTCTCATAGAAGCGGCCCTCACTTCACACTCACATAGGTGATTTCTTGTGATGTAAATCACTATACATCATCTGAACACAACAGATTAAGAAATCATTAAAAGCCTTAATGCTTACCCTCATAAATACACTGTCTTGTCTTAGGAATGAGTATGAGTTTAAAAACTCCACAGTGTTTGAACAGTCGACCATCACTTAGTTGTCTCTTTGAACCTAGTTCATGGGATCTCCACTCTTCTAGGTAGAGTTACCGCAATGCTCAACAATTGATAGGCCTTAAACCCATTCCTTTCGACAAATTTTCAACCAACTCTCTAGGAATCCCTTTGGTTAACGGATCCACTATGTTTTCCTTAGACTTAACATAGTCAATTGAAATGATTCCATTCGAGAGTAGTTGTCTTACGGTATCATGTCTACGACGTATGTGTCTAGACTTACCGTTATACATGACGTTCTTGGCCCTTCCAATAGCTGCTTGGCTATCACAATGTATGCATACAGATGGTACCGGTCTTGGCCAATTAGGAACATCCTCAATAAAATTACGAAGCCATTCGGCTTCTTCACCGGCCTTATCTAAAGCAATAAATTATGCTTCCATGGTTGACCTTGCAATGCAGGTTTGCTTGGACGATTTCCAAGACACAGCACCTCCACCAAGGGTGAACACATATCCACTTGTGGATCTAGTGTCGTTAGAGCCGGTGATCCAATTTGCATCACAATACCCTTCTATAACCGCGGGGTATTTCTCGTAATGCAAAGCATAATTCTGAGTATACTTCAAGTATCCCAAAACTCTTACCATAGCTTTCCAATGATTCTCATTTGGATTACTGGTAAAGCGACTTAACAGACTTACTGCATAAGCAATATCAGGTCTGGTGCAGTTCATAACATACATAAGGCTTCCCAACACTTGAGCATATAGCTTTTGTGCTGTAGCTTTACCAGTGTTCTTTAATAAACTCAGATTAGAATCTACAGGGTTCCTCACAGGAGTTATATTCAAACTCTTGAATTTCTCAAGAACCTTAACTATATAATGAGCCTGTGATAATGCCAACCCTGCAGATGTTCTATGGATTTTAATTCCTAGGATAACGTCTGCTATCCCCATATCTTTCATCTCAAACTTACTTTTAAGTAATTGTTTAGTAGCATTAATCATTTGATTATTACTACCCATGATCAACATGTCGTCTACATAAAGACAGATAATGGCAAAACCTTTTTCAGTATTCCGAACATAGACACATTTGTCACATTCATTAATTCGAAAACCATTTGATAACATAACTTTGTCAAAATTTTCATGCCATTGTTTTGGAGCTTGCTTTAACCCGTAAAGGGATTTTATTAAGCGACAACCGTTCTTGTCCTGGAACAACAAAACCTTCAGGTTGTTCTAAATATATCTCTTCGTCCAGGTCGCCGTTTAAAAAGGCAGTTTTCACATCCATTTGATGTATTTCTAATCCATTCAATGCAGCTACCACGATCAACATCCTGATGGATGTGATCCTTGTAACGGGTGAATAAGTATCGAAGTAATCGAAACCTTCACGTTGCCTGTAGCCTTTTACCACAAGCCTTGCTTTATATTTATCAATAGTGCCATTCTCTT